ATTGAAAAAATTTATCAAGTGTCTAGTTTTTTCGCGGAAGATTATAAAAGTACGAGTCGATGTCACATTTGCTCGTTCAATGACGATTTGGTTTCTGAAACAATTCACTGGCTTATCAGTCGCTTCAATTGCATAAGACATTGATAATTCGCTGTGGATGGTGGCTGCGTCAGAACTAGGCATATTTTCAAGCGCATGAATGTTCTGCCGTGATAGCGCATCGGCTACGTAGTTTTCTTTTCCTGGCTTATAAAGAATTTGGGCATCATGTTCATCTATGAACGCTTTCCACCGCTTAATTTTCGCGTTGGGGTTTCGGTCTGAAACCGCAAACGACAGAGGTTGATGATCAGTAAAAATATTTAAATTTTTAACACCATATAGATAATTTCTGAGATTCTTTAGAGCCCAAACAATTGCGAGTAATTCCCTTTCATTAGTAGCGAAATTCATTTCGTTGTCTTTCAAGGTCCTCGATATCATAGTTATCGGCTTCCCGCTTTGTGATAGTACAGCGCCTAATCCTAAAGATGACGCATCCGTTGTTAGGTCGAATGGTTTTCCATAATCTGGATGCTGGAGCAAAACGTCTTCCGACATCAAGATTTTCTTGAGCTTGTTGAAAGCTTGACGCTGACTGTTGTTTAGCTCTATTTGTTTTTTCTTCGATTGGTGAGTGCTAACTCTACCATTTTCGCCCTTAAAGATATCTGTAAGTGGCCTGGCTATTGAGGCGAAGTTTCTTATAAAGCATCTGTAATAGCTCGCTAAGCCCATAAATGACCTGACATTAAATAATGTCGTTGGCTCAGTATAGTTTCGAATTGCCTCTATTTTACTTGGGCTTGTTCGAATACCCTCTCCAGTTACCGTGAAACCTAAGTACTCAACGCTTTCCTTAAAGAATGGGACTTCTCCCGTGAAATCCTCATATTGGCTTCGTTCAACTTCCTCAAGACCCACGCTATGTGTTTAATGTGATCTTCTTCTGTTTTTGAGAATATGATAACGTCGTCGACGTAAACGTGACATGTCTTTCCAATTTGGTCTCGAAGCACGTCATCAATAGCCCTTTGAAATACGCTGGGTGCGTTCTTCAAGCCAAATGGTGGCCTACAAAATTCGTATTTTCCGCTGTTGACCGAAAAAGCAGTTTTCTCGCGATCTCTTTCTGCCAAAACTATTTGGTGAAAGCCAGATTTTAAATCGAGAGTTGTAAAATATTTTCCTTTTCCTAAGTTGGCGAGTATCACCATCACGTTAGGGATGTGATATTTATCGTCTATCGTTTTTTGATTTAATTTTCTGAAATCAATTACAAGACGTTTTTTTGTGTTGCCATGTTCATCAACTCCCTTTTTGTCAACAACCCATATTGGATTATTGTATGGCGATCTAGATGGTCTAATTATACCATTTCTTAGCAAGTCACGCACTTCTTTATTCACAAAATCTGCTACGCCCATAGGATAAGGATATAGTTTCGAATAAATGGGGTCGTCACACTCAGTTCGAATGGTAGCTACAATATTTGTGTTGAACGGAAGTAATTCGTCAGGATCAGCAAATACCGTTTGTTCACTTTTTAATAATTTTTGAAATTTTTCGTTAACTTTTTCTGGAATTTTAATATCCTCAATTCGAGTGAAATTTACATTCGCACATTTTAAAAACTGGATCGGTTCTGATCCCGTGTTATACTTCAAATTTTTATTTTTAAAATCTATTTTTGCATCGATTTGTGTTAACAAATCGAGGCCGATGATTCCATCAAATTTTGTAAGATCGGGTAATATAAAAAAGGTGCTATTAATATTAAACAGGTTCACGAAGCATTTATCTTTGATTTCATTAAAACCATGTATTGATTTTACTATAAAAGTGTTGCTTACTGGTTTTATATATCTTAACTCTTTAAGAGGTTTAATGTAATTCTTTGACGCACCGGTGTCAATCAGCAGTTTTATAATTTTCCCTGCAATATTCCGCTCTATGAATGGTAGCAGGGAGTTTCCACTAAAAAATTAACATGGTCAAAACTATCAGCATCGTCATCAATTTCTACTAGTGATTCTTCGGCTAGTTCCTCGTATTTCCTCATTTCTTGTGTTTGAGAAATGCTTTCGTGTGGCATAAAATTCACTCTCTGCATTTTTTGCCCTGTTAATCTTTCAGAGTCATTTTTTCTTTTCATATTTTGGTCCTTATATTGAACCCCGAAAATAGTGTTGTTGTATTTCTCTGACGTATTATAATTACTCCTTTGAGTTTTGGTATTGTTCCAGTGTCTCGTCCTAGATGAGGTTGGATCTACGTCCATTTTTTCAACTTGTCTTTTTTCAGTACTTTGTCTTACAAAATAAGGATTTTTGTTTTGATTATCAACTTGATTACTTTTAACGTAATTGCTTACCTGACTATATCTGCCCACACTTCTTTCATTATTTTGAAGCCTTTGTTCAGTTCTGTGAGCTTCATCTTCCAGACTCCTCGCGAAGTTGGTTGCGAATTTATAACGCTCATGGTTTGCCTCAACTTCTTGTGCCAAAGCTAATGCTGCGGGTAAATTGGTTGGCTGTGCCGAGAAAAGAATGTTGCTTAAGGCCCTTTTTGTACCTGAAATAAATATGCGCAACGCGTCCATTCTATATTTTTCATTTAAGGATGCTGCCAAGGTTCCATCATAAGTCATAATTACTTTGTTGGTAAGCAAAGTCAATTTTTGTTCCACTTGTTCATAGAATTGTAAAAGAGTCAGGTTACCCTGACGTAGGGTAGACATCTCCTGTTCGATGAGGTAAATAGGCCGCTTATCAGCGTATGTGAAGTCAAGACGTGCTATTATAGCTTTAAAATTGAGAACAGTGTTAAAGGATGCTAAAACCATGTCTGCCGATCCTTTTATTTTATTTCGTATAATGGCAACTGCCTGGTAATGTTTCGAGCTCCCATTATGGTTTTGAAATAATTTATAAGCAACGTGAGCCGCTTGTCGCCATGATACGTAAGTTTCTTGCCTGCCCTCAAAGTCAGGCAGAGATTTGACAATGTCAAGTGATTCTTCACATTTTATTCCACTGATTATTCTTGTTTCTTCATAGATTTCTACATCCGGGGTATTTACTGTAACTTTATTTAGACGTTTACTTAACTCATCTAATTGTTTTTCAAAGATTTGCCTCTGTGAGGCAAGAGCACCACTAACGGCAGCCTCAATTACGGCTTTCAGCTGGTCTTCATTCATTTTTTCACTATGAACAACTCTATGGCGTTCCTGTATATGTTTAAGTTTCTATTGCAGAGCCGCTATTGGTAATAGGTTTCTAATAAAGAGTTTGCAAGGGAGGGCTATCGCAACAATAATAATACAAAAATAATATTATTTCAAAAAATTTATTTAATTCTAGCAATACAATTGTAAATTTAAATATCTTAAATATCTAAGAATAATATAAAAAAATTCTCCTGTTGTCGCGAAAGTGACTGGTCGCGCCCTGAGTTCCTCCAAATGTTATATTATGTTTTGTTCGTATTACAACTGTGTACCTTTTGAAACCACCAGCACACTTCAATTATTTTCTTTTAAATTGTTTATATGTTGATTACTTTAAATATTTTTTGTCTTTATTTTAAATCACCTCTCAGCTGCACGTTTGCAATGCTTTTTTGTTTGTAATAAAAAAATTGTTTGTTGTTTTAAAATGCAAAAAGAAGTAAAGTTAATGCAAATGTTTCTTTCTTCGTGGACAGTTCCCACTGTACAACAATTTTTATTTCTGTTCGGATTTTTATAAAATAAATCAATCCACTAATTTATAGTCATTTTCAATTTAAATTGACTTAGTTGTTTTCTTTTATAATTATTAATAATTTAAATATCGTGTTTAACAAAATACAAAAAACGTGCTGAGACAAGCTTTTCCGCACGCAGTATTTGCTTAAAACGTGTTTTTTCACTTCGGTGTGTTTGGAGCTGAATTTTGGTTCAGCATTACTTCCACATTTAACATTTATTGCCCTTAAACTTTTTTATTCGAGCCCCACGTTGGGCGCCAATTATTTTATTACCAATTATCAATTATTTATTTCTTTATTAAATATATGTTTTACACTACAGAGCCAAAATTGAACTGCACTCTTTCATAAGTGAGGGAGCTTTTTACAACACTCTCACCTGAGAGCTTTTAAACATAATTCATCGGATATTTTTATTTAAACATAGAAGTGTGGCTGATTACGTGTTAACTTATAGATTATTTAAATTTTTAATATTTGTAATAAGAAGATAGTGGTTTCCGGTTTCTTCTGTTGAACGTAGAATATAACGTCATTCTCTGTTTATATGGCATAGTCTAGTATTGGCATTATCTTATCTATTTTAAAATAAAAACTTGTTAGAACTTTGTCATAGATTCCGTAATAGGCAGCGTGGCCGAGCGGTCTAAGGCGCTGGTTTTAGGCACCAGTCCGAAAGGGCGTGGGTTCGAATCCCACCGCTGTCAATTTTTTTTTATTATTATTTTTACAATATATAATAGTACATCAATATATATGTACGCCACCGCATGTCCCCTACTCTATACTGAGATTTGCACACAGTGTTTACACTTTCTTTGCCTATATTAATACATATGATTTGCCTTTTATTGAATAATCAGGTACACTGAAATGTATTTTATGTTATTATTTTGCAATTCTTTAAATACGATATATACACGATAATACTTATAAACAAAAACTCTGCTCGATTTTACAGGACCAAAGTTATATCGCGGCAGAAAGGCAAATGGTAATTTTATACATAAAAAATAAAACAAAATGTAGTTTGAAGTTACTGTTAGTTATGTGTTTAGTTGATATTTATTATTGTAACTTTAAATTCTGTTTAGTTTAGTTTTTAACTAAATATTTACAAAAAAAAAAAAATAACTAACAATTATCTTAAAGTGTGTTGGGCATATTTTTAAAACAATATATGAAGTTACTTCTAACAACTAAAATCCCTACTGACCTTTATGAATAACATCACATATACTAAACATCTGCAATTATCCAATTGTAAGCAATTCAAATCAAACAAAAAATAAATACTTAAATCACAAGTATCTATTCTTTTTCACTATTCACTATTATAGATAACTCTATATATAAATATGCATATCTAAGAGTATGTATAGTATGTAAATAACAAATTCAAAGAAATTATATTCGAAACTATGGTTTTGTTTGACTATGAATAGCTTCCAACTGGATGCACGTACAACATTTAAACAACATTAACACACATAAAATTATTTTAAAATTATACTGAACTAATCGGTGTTTGAATATTATTCGATATTTAATAACATTAAGTAATAACTATATGCATGCAAATATTAACGCTATCCAAATAATATTTTCATACATACCTTCTGCTGAACTTAATATTTTTTTTATTAACATTTATGTATTTCACTTTTTTTTTTTTTTTTTTGAATGAAAATAGGTGTTTCACATACGACACTACAAATCGTAACAGTGCATCCAGTCCATCACCTGACATCAAATTAGACTTGGATGAAAATCTGCTTATAGGAGGCAGTGATGCTGGGCGTGGTTTATCTGTGAGCATATTGCAAATAATAACTGATAATCGTGAACTTAACATTTTTTTTTTTTCATAGTATCAACAATATTCGGCTAATATACTGGATGATCCCGAATTGATTGCTGGCAAGCATCGCACTTTATTGACATTCACTTCTTACATGACTTCGGTTATTGATTACGTGCGTCCTTCGGACTTGAAAAAGGAACTTAATGATAAGTTTCGAGAGAAATTTCCGCATATACAGTTGACTTTAAGTAAACTAAGAAGGTATGATAGCATTTACGATTACAGTAATAACAATAAAGTGTATATGTTAAAAGTAAAGCGCGGAGGTTGCAACCTAGGCAGTTGCACCACCTTTATATCTGCTAAATATGTGACGAATAAGAGTCACAAGACAACACTAAGAGAAAGGAAAGAGGAAGTAAGCAATAATTAATTTCAATATATGTAGCGTGAAGAGATGGAAGAGAATTTATTAATATATACATAGTTGTGGGAGAGCATACAACCTAGACTGATTCAAAGTATAAGAAAGCTGTCACCTTAATTAGATCGTTACTTCTTGACGTGAGGTTATAATATATACGTGATCTAGAAATCGATATTAAATCCATATGTAGGTCGTCGATTTGATTTTCGATTTGCGAAATGCCAAGCTTACGTTTCGAAGCCATCCGTTTACGAAGATGAAATCTACTTACCATTCCTTTCATTTAAGTTTTAGTTTCTGAAAGTAAGGTAGAGCGATGCAGATTACAACAATAATAAGAAACTTTCTTTTCAATTTAAATGAAGAAATTTAGTCAGTTAAAGTTTATAGAATAGTTTATCCGAATTACTATTTATTGTCAATTAAAACACATAGTGCCACATATTAAAGCAAAAAAAAAAATATTAACATATATATTGAATTTTTCGAATAAAGTATATAATGCATTTTTCCATTATTTATATTTATATGAATATATACACACATATATATTTCGATAATTAACATATTTTTAATTACAGTATCAAACGTGAAATGCGGCGTATCAATAAAATCGATAATCGTATTGATTTGGTTACTATATCTCAAGCATACGTTTACTTTGAGAAATTGATTTTGGCTAATTTAATCAACAAAGACAATCGAAAACTGTGTGCCGGAGCTTGTCTCTTGTTGAGTGCCAAAATGAATGATGTGAAAGGTGAATCATTAAAGAGTTTAATTGAGGTAAGATTATTTCAAATCATTCAACTCAATATTCTTACTAATTAATCTCTTTTTTAATTATAGAAAACGGAAAACATATTTCGTGTAAATCGTAAGGAGTTGATTGCTTCAGAATTTGCTGTGCTAGTGGCACTGGAATTCAGTCTGCATGTACCATTGCACGAAGTGTTACCACACTATCAACGTTTGCTTTACGAATCATAGAATTGGCCTAAACGCTTTATTGAAAAGCGTATAACCGCTACAACGCGTTACTATTTTCGGCGTAAGAGCACCAGGAAATGAAGTACTGGTTCTGTTTTTGGAGTTAACGATTTTTATAATTAAACGAATTTCTTTTTATACTACTTTGGTGCACAGGGTTTTTTGTTAAATTTAATTTAATTTCTTTTTGTTATATACAATATTTTGTGACATTTTTACGTAATTTAATATGTTTACAGATTTTTTTTACAATGATTTTACTTAATAGTTTAGTGCATGTTAATATATTGTTTTTATTTACAAGTATTTTTATAACTATTAATAATAACTAGTGTTAGTTTATAATTTTTACAAAATCAATTTAACATTTTATAGATTAAAAGATTTTATACGATAGTGGTTATATGGTTAAGAATAATGATAAAATTTATATATTGGAATTTTTCTATGTAATGATATTACAACGGTTATTTTATAAATATCATACATCTGTAGTTTTCCTAGTAAAAGTTATAAAACAGAAATCAACACTTTTAAACGAAAAAAAAAAATGAAAATATTAAAAATGTTTTTATAAAATTACTGTACAATATGGTTTTAAGAAGAATATTAAATCTACTTATTGAAGCATATTTGCATATTGCATAGTTCTTTGTACTAAATACATTAAGAGATACTTAAATATATTATTCATTTTATAAATATTATACGTATATAAACATACATAAATATATTATTATATCCACTCATCGATTAAGTGTTATGAGTCAAACAAAAATGCATTTAAGAATGCTTAACAAATTTGGTATAATTAAATGAAAAATATTCAAAATAAAAAACTGTAATATAACAGTCTATATATATATATATATATATATTTATATATATTAAAATATTAAAATAATTGTACTAACTTTATAAAAAAACCAACTAAACAAATTAATTATTAATCATAATCAATTCATAAGAATATTTTATATTCCTTATATGATATGTAGTCCAAGCAAATCGGAATTTTTTTTAAAATGATTGCACTTTTTTAAATTTGCATTATTTATATTAAATAAATCAAATATATTCAAATTATTATTGAGAGAATGAAATGCGACTTTTAAAGTTATATTTATACGCATTTCTGTTAAGGTTAATAATGACTAAATGTATAAATTTAATTTAACAAAAATGCACTTAAGTATCACGTTTTATTTAGGGCATTTTATTAATATATATAAAAATTCTTAACAATACTGTTATTAATTAAATTAAATTGAAAATTAATATTTAAAATAACTGAAGTTATATTAGAAAAGTGTAGTTATTCATTAAATGAACAAAAGTTATAGTCTAACGGATCTTAAAAAGATTTTTATAATATATAATATAGAATAAAGCGCTCAGTGCGTAAGTAGATATGTACATATATATGCATATATATTTAAATGTTATTTATAAAATCATTTATTTATTCTAATAAACTAATCAAACAAAATACATTCTTTTTTGCTGAACAAATATTTTTTGGGTGGTTCTTAATTTAAATCTTCATAAAATAAGATTTTCAACGATATATATAGTTTTTTATATAGTTAT